ACACAGTTGAAGCTAACAACCTAATTTGTAGTGGACAAATTAAAGAACTAAAATTGTATCCTTTTAGGAAAAAAATTTAAGTCAAATTTGCGCTGTGATTTCGTGTTATAAACGTTATTCCGAAAAAATAACCGTCCACCGTCAAATGACATAAAATATAACCATAAACCGTCAAAACGGCTTGTTGTTAACCGTCAAAAAAACCCCATCCCCCACCATTGAGACACTCCTTCACTGGTGAAAATATGGCGTCAGTTTTTCGTCAGTAAAAGACAACCATAAGTCGTCAGCGACATGTTAGCGCTGATCAGATTACGACACAGCGTACAATCTTGAAATGAAAGTACTTTTTACCATTAAATGGTTTTTAAGATCAAGATTTAGAGACACTCAGGACAACTCTCTTCTGGAAGCCATACTGTATATTTACAACTGTCATGTTCCTAGCGATAACAACTTTTACAACAATTTACAGCAATTCCATGGAAATCAGTTTTGTAACCAAAAAAACTGAAGCATTTACACACTTGCGCGATATACAGTCAGCAACATAGTGAATATAGTTAGGTACAAGACCTAATCATTGCATTAAAACCTAAAACCATTAAACTAAACTCATTATTGACCGTTTGTGTATGAGAGGGAGGTACGTTCAGAATCACCAATTTGGATCCGCCTAAAAATTCAAATTAGTTAAAGTGGTATTGATTTTAAAAGCATCAGAGAGGGAACCAGCACCAGAAGCACCAATATCGTTACAACTCAAATCCATATAAGTCAATACTGTTAACACTCAAATTCATATTAGTCAATACGGTATTGACTTTAATAGCATCAGAGAGGGAACCAGCACCAGAATCACCAATATTGTTCTCACTCAAATCCAAATTAGTCAATGCGGTATTGACTTTAATAGCATCAGAGAGGGAATCAGCACCAGAAGCACCAATATTGTTGAAACTCAATCCAAATTAGTCAATGCGGTATTGACTTAAATAACATCAGAGAGGGAACCAGCACCAAAATCAACAAAATTGTTCATACTCAAATCCAAATTAGGCAATGCGATATTGACTTTAATAGCATCAGGGAGGGAAGCAGCACCAGAAGCACCAATATTGTTCCAATCCAAATCCAAATTAGTCAATACGGTATTGACTTTAATAGCATCAGAGAGGGAAGCAGCACCAGAAGCACCAATACCGTTATAGCTCACATCCAAATTAGTCAATACGGTATTGACTTTAATAGCATCAGAGAGGGAAGCAGCACCAGAAGCACCAATACCGTTATAGCTCACATCCAAATTAGTCAATACGGTATTGACTTTAATAGCATCAGAGAGGGAAGCAGCACCAGAAGCACCAATACCGTTATAGCTCACATCCAAATTAGTCAATACGGTATTGACTTTAATAGCATCAGAGAGGGAAGCAGCACCAGAAGCACCAATACCGTTATAGCTCACATCCAAATTAGTCAATACGGTATTGACTTTAATAGCATCAGAGAGGGAAGCAGCACCAGAAGCACCAATACCGTTATAGCTCACATCCAAATTAGTCAATACGGTATTGACTTTAATAGCATCAGAGAGGGAAGCAGCACCAGAAGCACCAATACCGTTATAGCTCACATCCAAATTAGTCAATACGGTATTGACTTTAATAGCATCAGAGAGGGAAGCAGCACCAGAAGCACCAATACCGTTATAGCTCACATCCAAATTAGTCAATACGGTATTGACTTTAATAGCATCAGAGAGGGAAGCAGCACCAGAAGCACCAATACCGTTATAGCTCACATCCAAATTAGTCAATACGGTATTGACTTTAATAGCATCAGAGAGGGAAGCAGCACCAGAAGCACCAATACCGTTATAGCTCACATCCAAATTAGTCAATACGGTATTGACTTTAATAGCATCAGAGAGGGAAGCAGCACCAGAAGCACCAATACCGTTATAGCTCACATCCAAATTAGTCAATACGGTATTGACTTTAATAGCATCAGAGAGGGAAGCAGCACCAGAAGCACCAATACCGTTATAGCTCACATCCAAATTAGTCAATACGGTATTGACTTTAATAGCATCAGAGAGGGAAGCAGCACCAGAAGCACCAATACCGTTATAGCTCACATCCAAATTAGTCAATACGGTATTGACTTTAATAGCATCAGAGAGGGAAGCAGCACCAGAAGCACCAATACCGTTATAGCTCACATCCAAATTAGTCAATACGGTATTGACTTTAATAGCATCAGAGAGGGAAGCAGCACCAGAAGCACCAATACCGTTATAGCTCACATCCAAATTAGTCAATACGGTATTGACTTTAATAGCATCAGAGAGGGAAGCAGCACCAGAAGCACCAATACCGTTATAGCTCACATCCAAATTAGTCAATACGGTATTGACTTTAATAGCATCAGAGAGGGAAGCAGCACCAGAAGCACCAATACCGTTATAGCTCACATCCAAATTAGTCAATACGGTATTGACTTTAATAGCATCAGAGAGGGAAGCAGCACCAGAAGCACCAATACCGTTATAGCTCACATCCAAATTAGTCAATACGGTATTGACTTTAATAGCATCAGAGAGGGAAGCAGCACCAGAAGCACCAATACCGTTATAGCTCACATCCAAATTAGTCAATACGGTATTGACTTTAATAGCATCAGAGAGGGAAGCAGCACCAGAAGCACCAATACCGTTATAGCTCACATCCAAATTAGTCAATACGGTATTGACTTTAATAGCATCAGAGAGGGAAGCAGCACCAGAAGCACCAATACCGTTATAGCTCACATCCAAATTAGTCAATACGGTATTGACTTTAATAGCATCAGAGAGGGAAGCAGCACCAGAAGCACCAATACCGTTATAGCTCACATCCAAATTAGTCAATACGGTATTGACTTTAATAGCATCAGAGAGGGAAGCAGCACCAGAAGCACCAATACCGTTATAGCTCACATCCAAATTAGTCAATACGGTATTGACTTTAATAGCATCAGAGAGGGAAGCAGCACCAGAAGCACCAATACCGTTATAGCTCACATCCAAATTAGTCAATACGGTATTGACTTTAATAGCATCAGAGAGGGAAGCAGCACCAGAAGCACCAATACCGTTATAGCTCACATCCAAATTAGTCAATACGGTATTGACTTTAATAGCATCAGAGAGGGAAGCAGCACCAGAAGCACCAATACCGTTATAGCTCACATCCAAATTAGTCAATACGGTATTGACTTTAATAGCATCAGAGAGGGAAGCAGCACCAGAAGCACCAATACCGTTATAGCTCACATCCAAATTAGTCAATACGGTATTGACTTTAATAGCATCAGAGAGGGAAGCAGCACCAGAAGCACCAATACCGTTATAGCTCACATCCAAATTAGTCAATACGGTATTGACTTTAATAGCATCAGAGAGGGAAGCAGCACCAGAAGCACCAATACCGTTATAGCTCACATCCAAATTAGTCAATACGGTATTGACTTTAATAGCATCAGAGAGGGAAGCAGCACCAGAAGCACCAATACCGTTATAGCTCACATCCAAATTAGTCAATACGGTATTGACTTTAATAGCATCAGAGAGGGAAGCAGCACCAGAAGCACCAATACCGTTATAGCTCACATCCAAATTAGTCAATACGGTATTGACTTTAATAGCATCAGAGAGGGAAGCAGCACCAGAAGCACCAATACCGTTATAGCTCACATCCAAATTAGTCAATACGGTATTGACTTTAATAGCATCAGAGAGGGAAGCAGCACCAGAAGCACCAATACCGTTATAGCTCACATCCAAATTAGTCAATACGGTATTGACTTTAATAGCATCAGAGAGGGAAGCAGCACCAGAAGCACCAATACCGTTATAGCTCACATCCAAATTAGTCAATACGGTATTGACTTTAATAGCATCAGAGAGGGAAGCAGCACCAGAAGCACCAATACCGTTATAGCTCACATCCAAATTAGTCAATACGGTATTGACTTTAATAGCATCAGAGAGGGAAGCAGCACCAGAAGCACCAATACCGTTATAGCTCACATCCAAATTAGTCAATACGGTATTGACTTTAATAGCATCAGAGAGGGAAGCAGCACCAGAAGCACCAATACCGTTATAGCTCACATCCAAATTAGTCAATACGGTATTGACTTTAATAGCATCAGAGAGGGAAGCAGCACCAGAAGCACCAATACCGTTATAGCTCACATCCAAATTAGTCAATACGGTATTGACTTTAATAGCATCAGAGAGGGAAGCAGCACCAGAAGCACCAATACCGTTATAGCTCACATCCAAATTAGTCAATACGGTATTGACTTTAATAGCATCAGAGAGGGAAGCAGCACCAGAAGCACCAATACCGTTATAGCTCACATCCAAATTAGTCAATACGGTATTGACTTTAATAGCATCAGAGAGGGAAGCAGCACCAGAAGCACCAATACCGTTATAGCTCACATCCAAATTAGTCAATACGGTATTGACTTTAATAGCATCAGAGAGGGAAGCAGCACCAGAAGCACCAATACCGTTATAGCTCACATCCAAATTAGTCAATACGGTATTGACTTTAATAGCATCAGAGAGGGAAGCAGCACCAGAAGCACCAATACCGTTATAGCTCACATCCAAATTAGTCAATACGGTATTGACNCAAGCAAAGTATTCATAAAATACCTCATACGGGCTATGTCAGCCTCGCGACTGGTGTCTGCTGCATGAGGAGGTGCGTCCCAGCCAGCAGTTGGCGGAGTCATCTCACAAACTGTCCTCAACAGAACCATAAGAAGTGTAGGGTCGAAGAGTTCAGATGACACCGAAGAAGCACGATCAGGATACAGTTGACCCCATTGCTTTGAAGTGAGGATTCTTTGCTTTTGAAGTGACCGCAGTGTCTCATGATTTTGATAGTCTTTCAGATGTTTCCGAAGATTTTGTGGTGGAATGATTCTGTCAAATGTTTCTCTCAGGACTCCTGAACCCACAGTGACCAGAATCTGACAAAGCTGAGCATAATTTGATTCCTCTTTTGTGGAGGTTAATTTGGGAATAGTGCCTACAACAGTCCACATAAAAACATTTATCAGTCACCTCTTACAATCTACTTCCCTAGGATGTTGTTTATGTTCTGTTATCATGGTCCTAAAAGCCAGGCAATTCTGAACTTCGGGGTCAACAATACAATCAAACCTGTATATAACGGCCCTGTATTAAGCGGCCAGTTTTCAAATTCCCGATTTTTCGCTCATGCAAACGCTGTATTTGTTACCTGTATTAGGCGGCCACCTCTATTAAGCGGCCGCGGCCACCCTGTAGCAGTCCTATGTTTGACTTTCTTTTTTATTTTTACCTGTATTAAACGGCCAACCTTGAACGGAAACTAAGCCACATGTCAGTTTAGACGGTATTTTATTGTGTTTAAAATGCGACTCATCGTCACTATAAAGAAATAACATTTACAAAGCTACTGTGAGCTGATAATCGGCCGTTTAGTATCGTTAACGCTTTCCAGATGTCCGCAATGTGCTGATAGACCACGCCCAGTGAGTATTTTTCGTGATCCTGTNCATTTACAAAGCTACTGTGAGCTGATAATCGGCCGTTTAGTATCGTTAACGCTTTCCAGATGTCCGCAATGTGCTGATAGACCACGCCCAGTGAGTATTTTTCGTGATCCTGTATTAAGCGGCCAGTTCCTCAAGTCCCGAGGGTGGCCGTTATATACAGGTTCGACTGTTATTGAGACTCATTCGTTAATTACGTTGAAATCAACAGCACATGCTTTTTATGTTGGTTTTACTCGCTCATCAAATCCTTACAACTTACCTTGTCTGGGTCGAAGGCTGACATAGTGTTTCTCATGGATATGCCCCAAAACAAGCGGGCTGGCGTTGTCAACAGGACGATCTGGATTGATGATTATATCACAACCAAGACTGCTGATTACACAAATAGGAGTTTTGTAGCAGTTTGCTGCGGCACGGAGAACCAAGTGATCACCCCATGTGCCATCCTTTTCCATGCTTCTCAAGTAATCAGCCCAAGATGGGTATCCATGGACAAAGGTGAACAGATCTGTTCCATCGGTCTTTGAGAGAGAAAAAAACTTTTAAGTTAATTGAATAAGCTTAAAGTAGCTGACACAACATGTCCATCGTCCTGGACATAATTCATATAAGGAAATGGTTAGCAAAGCTGGCAATGTTCTTTGCTGTATGTTTTTGTTTGCTCTTTTGAATGTTGAACCTGCACAAAACCTGGCAAAATACAAAAGGTGGATATATGTGCGCTCATACAATTAACAAAAAAGAAGCAACGGATCATGTAATTCATGCATAATCTATGAGCATAAAACGAAACGATGTGCAGGGTGACGGACTTTCAAACATAAATCTTAGCCTGATTGTTTGCTTCTTTGACGTTTATCGGCATTCTTAACCATTTCCTTTTATTAACTATGTCCTTGCCTATACCAAAATAAACGTTCTTAACAATAATTCACCTTTTTACACTGAGTGATTAGTCAAAACCTGACTCGGTTATTGATAGATTTTATGAAATTAAGCTGGCAGATAGTTTACTTAATAAGGTAACATCACTCGATTGAGCCAGGGATACAAAGTTCTTCAGTACTAATACCAAAGCATCTACTGGTTATTTGGCTAACGTACTCGAGGAAAGACTATGGAACTTAAATTTCATCGTCAGTTACTCGAAGAGATTTCAGAGCCCTGTTTTCCCAGTCTCGTACAAAGCACACGTTCATTCACATCAGAAGCCACCTGTGGACCACTGACTTACCAGTTTGGGGGAGTTCCTGAGGCATTCCACTAACTTTTTCCGCAGTTCTGTTTCCGAAATTTGCATTCCTTTCACGCTTTGAAGTTGCTCTGACAGCGCGTAGAACATACAGTTTCCAGATCCTGGGTTGTCACAAATGCTGAATCCTTTGTCTGAAGCAATCTTTTGTAGATCTTCTGACAGGTCAATTTTCTTGTGGAACTTATTTGGATCGCACTGCATTTGTTGCAGATCATGAATAATGTTTATAGCTGGAAGCAAACAAAATTCCTTCAGTTATAACTAATTCTAATTGGGTAGCTAAGCAATCGATTATGCATTTCTCTAGTTTACATAACTTTTATTTCTACACCCATGCTCAAAAATCGGAAATTATACGAAACTGCAACAAAATTTAGATGACCACATGACTGTTCAAGCTTAAAGCCATAAGTGATGGGATATTGATGTGCTCTTCACCCTTTCCTTTTCTGACAAGAGCTTTTAATGTTTCACAAATGTATCATGAGGGTAGGGCACAAATGTACTAAAAATTACAATTGTAATAACTATACGAGGACCACAAACGTAATCAGGTAATAAGAAACAGGCACAAAATTATTACACTGGTGACATGAACGGTCTTTGCAGGAACAAATAAATAACAAAGTTTGAAAACTTAGCGATGCTCATTACATGTATTCCTTCTTTTACTCACAAATTGTTCTTAGCTAATTTTCATCATTTAGTAACTATCAGGAAGTGAGATCGATATAAGAGGCTAAGTTAATCTGAAAATGAATTTGATTTTTTAGTGTTCAGAGCCGCAGGTACCTGTCTGTTCTCCAGTCATCGTCTGAGTAACCTGGGTAGCAGATGAAACAGACAATCCCTCTTCTCCCCGAGTTGACTTCTC